AGCTCTTAGATATGGTAGGCACACTTGTAATTAACGCTTCATGCCCTTCAAAATGTCGCTTTATGCACTTAAACACATATTGAAAGGCAGTTTTAATTAATAACTTGTAGAGTAACAGCTCATCTTTCTATGCTGTAAAATGCAAAACTAGCCAAAAAGAGTCGCAGATTTCAAAAAAAAAAATGACACTCTATTTTTGCCACTTGCTAATACCGTTGCTTCCTTCAAAAAAAAAAGAAGATCCTTTCTCACGTCGGTGCCTGTTGATTTGCGCCAAAGATGTTTCAATGCTTATGTGGCTAGAATCGAATCAAATATGCGTTTGGAAAAGGGGAAATGGAAGCCTATTTCGAGCATCCTCTACTTTGACTAACACTTGTACATATGCATATCATCAGCGCTTGGAAACGAGAGACATTTGCGTGAAACTTCCGAATAAAAGCCCTTGGCAGCCACTCTCTGTGTAGTTTCCCTCCAGTTTCCATGCTTTGAATACATTTTGCGTATACCCATGAGCATCGATCCGTTTCAGAATGCAGGTTATTGCTGTTCTAGCTGTCCTCGGGGTGATCGTGAATATTGTCTCAAGCAAAGTCTTCCCTAATAATGCTGTTTGGGAATTCCTCGATCTTCGAAAGGTAATGGAGGGACTACCAAAGGAAGCCAAAAAGGAATACAGGCAGATAGACAACGATATGACCCTGACTTTAGCACAGCGCAAACAGAAGAAAATGGAATGGGCAGAGAAGTTTGGTGTTAAGGTGAGACGGCAATTTATTTGAAGTTTTTCCTTAGCGACTTGCTGACGCAAAGTTGTTCAGCCGCAGTATACAGATTTTGTTAAAAAAAGAGTGGCTATGCTGGATAAAACCGCGGAACTCTTGGCTAGTTTGCCGAAGTTGTTCAAACAATATCGTGACACGTGGGATGGAAAAAAACTTTTCAAAGATATAGAAGCAGAACTGATGAAACTTGCTGCTAAGTATAAGAAGGTTAGTTGGCTAGTTGCACTTTTTTGACAAAATAGATTAAATTCGAACAATCTACACCGATTCAAGGAGTACTCCGTCATGAGCTTTGCAAAGGATCTTGTGGAACGGGAAGGACGTAAGATATACTTCTAGTGAAAAAATAACGCTGTGCTGTCACTGTGGGAATAAATCTCCAACACTGCATTGAACCGTTGCAATAAGTCTGATGTGATGCTCTAGCTATTGGCGATTTACCTTCAACAACGAAAACCTTGCGTTTCGTAAAAAAATTCAAAAGAGATTGCCAACGATGAAGTTAAACTTGGAATTAGAATCAAAACGAATGTGGTACTGCCCCTTCGTTGAATAACCTATATTACGGCGTCATAATCAAGGCAACGTCCGGCTAAAATAGAGACTAGCGACCTTACGGGTCACTTGCAAGTGGGTAAGGCAGACACATTTATGGTGCTTAGCTTGAAATATAATTATTTCAACAACTAATTTGCTTGAGTTCCTGCATGGAGCATTTTCAACGATCTTGAGATACTCTTCGCCTTAAAAGGTTCCCATAAAGAAACTAGAAGGTCATGCTCAATATATTAGGTTGTCCTGAAAGTTTTGTCGGTTTTTTCAAACGACTATAAAAGCGAACATAATAAAGATGTGAAGGAGCTTCAACATGCATTCGATGCAACTTTTCTTCGTCTTTCTTATGGATACATTTTAGACCACATCCTGTACGCTTTTCAAGATAATTGCCAAAATCCTTCACCCGTCATTTCCGTCTCGTTAAAGTTCGGCTAATTTTCAAAAAATTCTTACAAAGTTTCGGAGAAGATTAAGCATGGCAAAGTAGAGCAGATCTCGGACTATACCATGATGTTGTTAGATTCTCCCCATCTGCTGTCTTTAGCTTTGAAAAAATTACTTCTTTGGAGGTCTCCATTTTTGGCAAATTCAAGAAACACGCGCTCCAGAAAAAACGAAAGCTTTCGAATTTTCCGCAAATTAAAACTCGAAAATTAAAACTTGATTGTAATTGAACGTTATTTGTGCAACATGACTGAGTTTGATTTGCTTTGAAGAATTAGCGTTTTGCAATCTTCGGTACTCTTATTGTTAGGTGGTGAAAGTGATCAAGAAGCAGCGGATTTCCCAAATAAATAATATCACGGACTTGATAAACTGGTCCATGTGATCTAAAATGGGTATGATGTAGCCAAAGGTTTGTTCTACATAACAACTATCAGCTCTGTGAAAATAGCAGTATCAAAATTTTTGAAATTCAGGGAAGACTTGGCGTTATTGTTGAGCTGCTCAAAAAGCCATGACGATAACTTCTTTACAACCTAATATATTACTCCGATTTCAAGCGTACAAGGCGTGGGTTTTTCCAAAACCGAAGAGCCCAAACACGCCAAAACTTGGCGACCAAAGGGCACTACATCATGC